CTCGCGGTGCACCGGGAGTTTGGGAACGTCGGGGTGAAGGGGGTGGTATATGGTGTTCTCAATATTGTGCGTGCGTGCGTGCGTGCGTGCGTGCGTGCGTGCGTGGGTGGGTGGGTGGGTGCGTGTGTGTGGAACATCTGAAAAGATGTAAAACTTCTACCTGATGATGTCTGTTTAATGCTTTTCTTTTATTGGTTTTGTGCACCTCGGGTTTCAAAGGCCATGTTTTTGAACAATTTTCTCAGCAGGGGGTGGTAGCAGGGTCCAGAGTCTACCACCAACGAAGACGCCCTGGTTTCCCTGGTGATACATGGCCTGATCAGCCATGCGTACCTGCCAATTTTTCTGGAATGGGAAGAGGCTCAACCCAAGAACCTCCAAACCGATTTTCCTTTTTTCAAAACGCTTCAAACCAAAACCAAACCTGTCAGTTTCATGTCAGCACCTGTACGACTATCGCAATCTGAAAGAGCTGCATCAGAACCTGATGAACCTTCGAGCAAGGACGTAGAAAGATTTTCTTCACACTTTTTCTCGTGTCCAATCAAAAAATCACAATCCTGTCAGGCTCTACTGAAATGTTTGTGCACGTGTGATGCATTCCAAAACAGAAATTCGCAATGATGTTTCTGAGCAAGTGTGTCATTCCTGCTGGGTACGTCAAGTTGGCAGGAACCCTTCGGGGAAAGCCTCTCTAGGCTAACAATTGACAGTAAAACGATGTCTGAATTTACACTTTTGAATTAGTAATTCGTCTAAGTAAAGTGAACTGCTGGCCATTTTTCGGGTTTCACCTGTTGTTGTCGTTTGGTTGAACAACTGGCTGCAGTTCCTGGCTCCTCCTTTGTTTGCTGAAACGCATAGCCTGTCGTCACGCCAACAATCCCTTTTCAGTGAAGCTCAAGAGACAGCCCGCAGCCATTTTCACATGACTTCACAGGCAATAGGACATGCTTCCCAGGTTTGGCCACTTTCTTTTTTGGTTTCTTGGTGAGGTTGAAATTGTGCGTGTAATTCAAGGGTTGAACACGTCAGCTGTCCAGAGGGTTTTGACATGAAAGCCGAGGGCCTTTGAGCCTTATCACGAATACTGCATGAGTTGTGGATGCATCCATTTATTTATGAACTAGTGCTTCTTTTTCCATCGTCTGACAGTGCTGCCATACCAGTCTTCGTGCCATGCTACCTGGCCACTGGACGAACTATCCAGACAATATGTGGAACTACGGCTGGTCAGTTCCAGGTTTTCCATCTCCTCAATCTGCTGTACCGTTTGGACAATTTTGTGGAGGTGATATGATGCGTCAGCAGTCACAAGCTCAGTCTCAAGCTCAGACTCAGGCACAGTTGGCACAGTTGGCTCAGCTACGGGAACAGAACTCTATTTTGAATCAACAATTGGCTTCCCAAGCTCAGACTCATATTCAGCATCTCCAGCAACTCCTTCCATTCCATCATTCCAATCCACCTGTCATTCAACCTTCGTCTAATCCACCGGCACCTGACCCACCAATTCCGACACCAGTGGCACAAATCCCAACACCAGTGGCACCTCAGTCCAATCAACCTGGGTCCAGCATCGGTTTCAACCCAGAAGAGATGATGCAACAGATGCGACACACTGTCGAATCCGGAATGCAGGCGTTCATGGAGAAGACCAAAGAGCGACCAAAAAGCCCTCATCCACAAGCTGACCAACCACCTACTTCAGTGCCTATACCCACTCCTATCCAACCTCCTCCACCAGACCATGCCCTACCACCACTTCCACGGCTTCATCGCCGCTCTCGCTCACGCTCTCAACGGCACCAGTCAGGTCTGGACAAACGCCCAATGTCCATTCCACGAAGTCCACGACGAGACAGACCACTCAGTCGTCCACGTCACCGACGTCGACACTCCAATTCACGAGACAGATCCAGACGTCCAAGTCGTGCTCCCTCAGTCACTCTCCGTTCAGCCTCTCCACGTCATCGTGAAGTACCACATGGCACAGAAGACAAATATACTCGTGATGATCCGAGCTACCAACCAGCTTCCCTTCAACCGGCATCCTGGGACTATCAACATTACGACCCACCTACAACATCCTACAAGGACGACCACTACTTCACCTACCGATCATTTGATCAACATTCCACCAACAAGTGGAAGCCCTGGGGTCAATGGAAGGATCATTCGAAAGCCTCTTACTATACTCACCCCTCAGGATGGATCGATTATTCAAAGCCAACATACAAGAATCAATCCTACAACGATCCTACATCAAAACCTTCCTCAAAACCTCTCACGGCATTCTCCTCAGACAACCCTTCACCTGGTCACAACCAACATCCACGTCGATCCGGCTCTGTTCAATCTCGGACTTCCACCGTCCCTCCAGGACACAGTGCCATCAACCTCCAAGAGGGCTCAAAAGAGGAATGGGCCCGTCAGGTCCGTCATGCCCTGCAGCATCCAGACAGAATGCGTGCAGCAAATGAGCTGACAAATGATGAACGTCCAGAACCATCCTCATCCATCGTCCATGCAGAATACGATGAGGCCATGGAACAACTCCATCAGGTGGACTCGAGAATCCCAGGAGATATAGCACGGAAAGCTGTCCAACTATTCTTCAGCACCGGTCTTCTTCCGGCTTACGACCTCTCCGGCTGCCATGTCCGGGAGCTTCCTCAAACCAGCATGCTTGCACTAGTCATGCCCTTACCTGACGTCAGCAGGTTCCAAATGCCACCTCCCTTCGGTGGTCAACAAAACATTACTTGGGCACTCTGTCATGGAACAACACTTCGCACCTCACAGCTGATACTCTTGGAGGGCAAGATCAGACCGGCAAACTGGTCTTACCACCGAAATCCACAGAGGTGCCACCTACCAACCTTTGGGGCATTCTACATTGGCAGACAAGTATCAAATGCTGACCAAGACTTCCCACCTTGGGCAGAACAGGAACTCCTTGACTCCATGGACAAGAAGGGCAAAGGCCAGCAAGAGATCACTGTTGGCGCGATGTATCGAGGATCACGAGAGCACCTTGCACTGAAAGCTGGAGGCAACGAAAAGGGCCAGCTCAATGTGGCTAAAACAGGCATAGTCACCACTCCGGAGAAGTACACGATTGCCCATAGCAACCACGTGGGCTTGAAATTCATTGCTCTCAAATGGGCGGACCTCAAAAGCAATGAAAGCTCTTCTCGACGCCCGATTGAACTTCGGGACACGGACTCTGAGGACAATGTCAACTATCGCCCAAATGAGGAACGTCATTCAGACAGACATCGCGGCTGAGCACTTAAGACTGCACTGTCAGTGTATGTATTATTAGCTTATGTTGTCCTAAACAGGATCTTACATTCATTTCTAGGATTCACCTGGACGAACGCTTTGGCCAAAAGTGCATCGTTGAAGTTCGTGTTTTGCTGGATTTGGTTTCTTTTTGTTTCTTCTTGTTGCTTGCTTTTCGTCGTTTTTTCCTTTTCGTCCTTTCTTTTGCACTTCGTGTTAGAAAGGGTTTGATCGATGATTGATCACTAAATGCGACAATTTGTCGTCGTTTGAATTCCATTTGAATTAACCTCTGTGATTGCAGTTCATTTTACATCATTAGTGACAAATACGGCACCGCAAGTGCACCCATGGCGGAGTCGGATCGATCTCGCTCCCCAGTTCCTGGTCGCAATCGCGCTGAACCTGGAAGTCAGAGCCCTCCTGTACGGCAAGAACTTCCTTTCTTTCCTCGATGGTGTGGACCAATGCAATCGGCCATCTGGCACTCGCAGCAAATGTCACGGCCTCAGTCTCGACCTCAGTTTCGACCTCAGTTTACTGTACGTCAGCCGGGCCCTTATATGGTGAATCAATCCATCAATCCAGCGGTTGCCATGACCACATGGTCCAATCCACGATTTCCACCAGCACCTCCTTCGTCACCTCCACCAACTCTGGCATATCCATTTCCTTCTCGACCAACCACTCCACCTTGTTCACCCACACTACCGTGTCCTCCGACTCAAATGGCTTCTCCAAGCACTCCATCCATTCCGTCAACTCAACCTCGTCAATCAGGTACCCCGTATTCACAGTCACCAGGGGGTCAAACGACTGCGGACGACAGTCGGACTTGCGGTTTTGATCTCAATCCTCATTGGCAAGAAGACAAAGATCACTATGACAACCAGAAGATCAATGGCTTGACGTTCCCTCGGTGCATTCGACCATCAGCCTTCACGCAAAAATTGGACATCGAGGGCTGTGATCCTTTGAAGTTACCGGTGGCAGCCTTGCTGTATCAGCAGGCCAACAATTTTTGGCTTCGCAAGCTGGCTCATGGGCGTGAACTCTACTTGATTCCGACTGGGGACATCGCAGCTGTAGTATTCATGACGGAGCTCTTGACCCAACTTCGAAACAAGGGGGTAGACCTTGACAAGGTGTCTTCTTGCAAGGCCAGACAAGATGGAAAGTTGCTGGACAAGACCAACAACACCAAGTATGCAGCGCAACAAATTGCAGATCTGATCCACAGCTGGGTTCCTACCCGAACAGCAGATCCTGACACTCAGCATGAATTGACTCAACTCAGAAGTCAACTTGCACAGCTGCGTCAACAACTTGGAGAGACTTCAGGTGACCCATCCAATCCGGGAACCACGGGCCCTTCAGCCTCCAGCCCTGCTACGACACCCATCCACGCAGCCCTCCTTCGCAGTTCTCAGAATCCAGCACCTCCAGCACCACCAGGCTTTGATCCTTCCTCTCTTCTGGTCGGAACCACTACTGTGAATCCGTGGCTCACTCAAAATATGCCACCAACCCTTGCAGTTCGAGCTTTCAACAAATGGTTGAAAGAACTCAACCTTTCGGAGTCAAAACGGAAGGTCCTCACTGACAATATTACCAAGACAGAAGAGTGGTGGGCCAACCAACCAGCTGAAGCGTTGGAAACAGTCGAACGAGTGGCCGTCATGATGGGGATCCCGGTAAACCTCATGGGCAAG